CTAGAGCTGCCACACACAAACTTCACAATAATATTTGTCTGATAAAGCTGATAAACTGCCAAATTGGATTCCGTCAACTGTGTAGAAAGTGTTTTGGACTATCTGAGCTGTTGCATGAAATGCAAAATCATAATTTACGCTAAGCTGACAACCCTAGCTACTCGTCCATGAAGTTGCCAACACTGTCAAATGCTTGATTGTAAATTATTTAAAGCCACATAAATCAAAGCACACAAAAGCATTTCAATTGTGTGAGGAGGCGACAACATAAACATGAACTTAAAGCCGCCCACTTTGTCATGCACACAAACACACATACACACACCCATCCATCCATCCATCCACTTATGCACACAATAACAACAGTAATAGGTAGACCCACAATAACGATTGGGGCAGCGACAACAAATTTGTCAACGAACCGCGTAAATGGCAAGCGTTGAGTTCGAGCTGTAACATTTTGGCATTACATCAATGCAACTGGGGCTTGGGCGAACTCCCAGGCGGCATATACGAGGGGATCCGGTCTATGGAATAGGAATTACCATGTCATGCATGCAAATTGGCAAAAACGGAAGAAAACTTAACAACGACTCAGACGAGCTTCAGTTGAAGCAACGGAAACTGATGATGCGGTTGCCAGGTGCTGCTTCAAAGCGCACCAGGTGAATCAATTGCGGTTAACGGGCGGGGCAAACAGGGCTTCAAGTTGTTGAGTCGTTGAAATGAAAGTACGCTGTGAGCCAATAAATAATCAATAGCTATCAATATTTGCATGCACATATTCGATTTTATTCATTTTATTTCTTGGTAAGCGTTGACAAAAACAGGTTTTACTCTTAACATCTTTGAGTAGTTACAAGTCATGAAAAGCGATAATGTGCGCTGATAAGTGATCGATAACTATCGATATTTTTTTCAGCGATTCTTCAGTGTTTTGCCAATCAATATAATTATTATTAGCATTATATAATCGAAGCAATGAATTTAACCTCGATAACAGTTAGTTTTCAAATGTCTTCGAAAAACTTTCAATATATTTACAGTCGGTCGACTTTGTTTGATTACACAAGTTTGTGCAGTGGAATGCCTGTGGAATGTTATTTGATTATCGATATAACAATTCAGTCGATTTGTTACAAAATGTTCCTTAAAAGGAACAAGTTTATTTCTGACATACGGTAAAGATTCGTCAATTTATCAAGAGCACCTCAAATGATTGAGATTTATTGATGGCATTTATGGGCCTTTTACAGAATTGCACAAGTAGCCGCAAGAAGTTAATTGCGAGAATCGATAAAAGTCATGCGGATCTGGTGCATTAATCGATGGCATTTATCGAGCATTTAAGCTGGCTTCAAAAGGACTGCCGAGTGCTTAATTGAGAACAATTAATTTCGAGTAATGCGTACAACAATTGTTTATTGAATACAGTGTCGAGTAGTTCGTGTTCCGATTCCGGAACAGTTGCTGCAGTTCATTTGTCAATGTCAATTTTAAAGCCAATTTTAAAATGTTGTGCCGCAAAATTTAATAACATTGACTCCATGCCACTTTGTTGTTCTCGTGCTGCCAGCAACTGTTGTTGTTGTTCTTGTTGCATGAGCTGAGTACGTGCTGTTTGTTTTGTTGTTGGGCACTCCTTACCCTCTCTCTCTCTCTCTCTCTGCTAACCCCCGCACTCTCCTTGTCCTTATCTTCGGCACTAGTCGCTTGGCTGTGGTTCAAGAAACTCACAAGTGACACTTGCACGAAAGATAAATGCGAACGTAACTTTTGCCATCAAATGTTGCCAATCTATGCGCACTCCTTCTGTGTCCTTCGTCCTGCATCCTGCTTGCTGCCTCCTGCAGCGACGGTGCCTCTCTCTTTCTGCTAAGCCAAGGCTGTGCCTTCGTGGAAGCCTCCTGCACAGCTAGAATCCCTCAACTGCTTTGGCTGCATTTGGACTCTGGTCCTTTACCTTTTCGTTCATGCAGCACTTGGGTCAGGCCAGGCCAGGACAGTCGTCCTTTTTTGCCTCCCTGTTGCGCGTCAAGTGTTCGACAAAGGAGGAAGTCACATTTACTTACTGATTTATGGGCGCATCCGTTTTGCCAGCGTTTTATCTGTTAACTTTTCGGCGCAATCATTTCCAGTCAAAATATTTTCCAAAAGACCCCCAAAAATACTTTCAACCTGAACTCCCCGTATAATAGTTGCTCTGTGGTTATTTCCCTAGGCAATGGCCAGCAATGCTCGACAACGACTCGTTAATCAATGACACTACGTTTATCTTTAACGTCTGCCCATAAATTTCACACTACAAAATTGCAAATCTTTGACTGACAACACAAATACACGCACACACCACTTTACACCAGTATGCCACACCTCCGGCTACACCCTCAAAAATTTGTTTTGGGTAAAGGGATTTTCAGTTTAGTCAGCTATTTTCCCAAAGTTGGCATATTTAAAACTTGCCTTCAAACTTGTCAGTTGGGGTTTTAGCTGAGCAATTTATTGTAGTATTCAAAGAAATTTAAGTAAAGATTGACTTAAATGTGAATCTGTTATTATAGCAAAAAGTTTTAGATTGGCTTAAATGTGAATATAGTAAGTATGATTATTTACATTAATCGTTATATTCTTCAGTGTGCAGCAAGAAAGAACTTTAATCTATACATTTATGAAGTTATTTCATACCTTTTCTTATTTTGTTCTTTTTACAGATATCATGACGAAACCTTGCTGAGACAATTGTTATCATTATCATTATTAATTTAATTTGTTTTAATTATTTTCAGGGCTCAATATGCAATATAGAACTTAAAAATACTAGTTTTTATTTTTTTCTTTTTAATAAATATTAGATGTTCATTAAACGGACGGCCTTTAAGGTCGCTAATTGCCTTTGGCTAAGTTCGCTAGGTTTTTATTGAAAAACTAGTATGGATTTTGCTATGTTTCGAGTGGCTAATAATATTATTTTGAGTTTATCAGGAGAGGTGGCCGCGTCGCCCTGGGGATGAGTGGGCGGAGTTGGGGCAAGAGTTCTTCTCCCTAATCTCCTGAAGAATGCGGCCCTTTCGTTGTATGAGAAAAGGATATTAATATTATTATCATTAATTTTATTAGTATAATAACTCTTAATAGCAATAAAGTATAATATAATAATAATTATTCTTTTCAAATTTTAAGTAAGTACGAAAAAACTAGATCTGTTATGAAGCGAAGCTTCATTTTTTCATATTGATTAAGGGCATTCAATCTTCTGTAATATTTGTCCCACTTTCTATCTTGCTAATTTGATTAAAAAGTAAGTTCAATTTGGCAAACTTCTCTCTACGGCACTCGAGTGCCAGTGCTCACATGGGTCTCAAAGGCAGACTGAAATTCATTTGCATTTGGCTAAATAATTTAGCAAATATGTTTGCCCCTTTGCTTTTTTCGAGTGGCCTCCGGATAGGTTGAAATTAAAGACAAACCGCCTGTGCTGGCAAACCGAACCGGAAGTGGCCTGAGCTGGCAGTCAATATGCTGCTCTATGACTTTCAGTTGCTAGGATTTCAATTATCATATTGTTATTTTTATGTGGCCAAAAAGTTGTAAAAAGACTGCTTGGAGGGGTTTATAGTTGTTTGTGGAGCATTTAAGATAAACATAATATGTTTGAGCACAACAAATGAAGCTGTGCTCAGTGTTTACCAGACAATATTTTGATTTAATTTACCGTGTGATAGGGCCGCCCTGTGGACCACAGGGCCCACAGGGCGTATACGCAATGAGTTCCAAGGGATTTTCTCGTTTGGTTTGCCGACTGGGTCGCCAGCCAGCTAATTAATATTAAATCCGTTTGGTTGAACGGCATTGAAATGCCAAAAGCAAACGGTTTGAGTTTGTCCAGCTACGCCCCAGCCTAAACAAACCCCTCTCACCCTCACGGGCCAAAGGCGTGACGTATCAAGGGTGAGGGTCGGTCGATTTGTTTCTGTTTCATGTCGCGTTTTATTCAATGTGTGTAATTATTTTACGGCTGTGTGAGCACTGGACATGGACATGAACTTGGCCAAGCCGATTGCGTGCCAAAGTATTTAAGCCCATTACGAAGTGGGCGTGTGCTAGGGGGCGGTGGCTACTAGTACGTGTTCTGAATGTGCTCTAATGAGGGAGGCGTTGAAATAAATTTGTATTAAACGCATGTAGCACATAATTCATATAAATTATATTTACTATTTAAATTTAAGTAACACACACATACGTACGCACACACTCACACACACACTCACACATACCCACGATTGCACTCGCATTGCGCATACGCCGCGTATGCCAAATAACACACATCCGTAATTACAATTGATGCTGATTACTATGCGAATCACATTCCGTACGAAAACTAATTAAAATGCTTATTAACTTTACAATTATCACACCTTTGCCTACGTGATTTTTACAGCAACAACAGCTGAAGATAGATGTGCAATTGACAGTTAGTTGTCAACATGTCAGATTAGAATGTTAGCCAAAAGGTTATTTACAACAAATCTGTGATATTTTTAATAAAAATTATGTGTATTTACATCTAACGGTGTTTCTACTCCACATGAGCTATCAATTTGTTCAAATATTTCAAATCATTGTTACATATGTGGCATTGTGACATTGTGAGATATTTTGAAAGGAAATAAAAATAGGAAAAACCAAAATACACCTCGTTTAATCAGACTCAATGTTTCCTATAAATTTGATTATTCTACTGGTATTCAAGTACTTAATGCCATTAAATTATAATTATTATAACAATCTCTGTTAGCGCTAAAAATATAAAAAATAGAAATACGTAAAATATTCATGGCTTTTCAAAATACTGTTCGGTTTCTGTTTGTGCATATTTAAATGAAATAATTCCAAATTGAGTGGGGCTTAAAATATCGATGAACGAATATGCCGCAAATGGCAGCATTCCAGCAAAATAATACACAAGCTATTTACATACTGATGAAATTAACACAAATTACTAATATGTAAATTTCCAGTTTTAATACCTTCATTTTTATATAGTTAAACACTTTTATACTGATCAATTAAATTTGGCTGTCCTTATACTAAAACAGTTATCAAGTCTAGAGTCGACCTTTTACATGTCCTGCCAAAAGCAGACGCGCAGTTGCCGCCACGCCTACCAAAACGCTCCGCTAATAAATAGGTGCGATCCTTGCGCCTTTCGAGCAGATCCTTCGAGCTCGAAGGCGTTAAGAGAATATGCAGCAGCTCAGCCAGCAAGCCGCTTTCATGACTCAAAGGCAGCGCCGCGTGCTCGCAGATCAGACGCAGCAGGCAGCTGTGTCCAGGCAAATGCATGCTCTGTAAAATCATCTCAATGCCACGATAGAATATCCAGCGATAAACTGAGCCCAAGCTTAACTCATCTGTAATACTTTTTCTATCCGTTATGGGCTGTGGCTTTAGATAGACGCGTGTTTTCTCTGTCGCATTGTTGGGCAGAAAGTATTGCATCCGGAGTGCATAGCCAGAGACAACAGACTCAAATGGCAAATCCTCGACGGGAATGCCAATGGCGCAGAGGAATGTAATCGGCGAGGGTGCAATCTTTGGATAGATCATTGTACCACTGGCCACAGCAGCTAACGTTATTAGGGCAATTGCTGGTTGCACGATATGCTCCATTGAAGATCTCGCCAAGAACTAAACGTTAAGGCTTTAACATTGATAGTTTTCTTTCGATTTAAAAAGTTCTCAGATGCATTTACACCTATTTCATCTAATATTTCAAATTAACAAACGCTACATTGTGTAAAATTTCTTGTATAAAAGATTAATGCTAAAGCAGAGAAATTTCTTTATTTGTTCAAAAACTTTGAGCAGTCAAGTGACGACAGGCATGTCAATATTTGGATATGGAATTATGGTTAATGCCAAGTTTTAAGTACACATTAAGTGTGCGTATTGCTAGAATAAAACCACCCGCAGCTGCTATGAATAAGCCTCTAATTTTGCCCAGACAATTTGATTTTCTGTAACTCAAGTTTTTACAAAAAGTTGGCCAGCAAGCTGCTGTCTCTTGTTTTTTGGGTTCATCGATAAATACAGATATTTGTTTTATAAAGTTCTGTTTCCTTTTGGCTTATTAACTTAACATTCTGCAACTGAAACACTGAAAAACGTTCTTGCCGATCATGCGATCGATTTTACTTTAATACAAATTTATCACAATTCTATACCAATTTAGCAGCTATGCACTCACAGCAACACTGTGATCAGTTCCATGGGAGAACTCGGACATTTACGGCCATAGGCAGCCGCACAGTTAGCGCCACGTTTGCCAAAACGTTCCGCCACCAAATACTCGCGATCGGTGTGCAGGGCATAGTGATCCGAGGAGCTAGAAGGAGTCAGAACAATGTGCAGCAGCTCACCCAGCAAACCACTTTCGTGGCTCAAAGGCAGCGCCGCGTGTTCACAGATTACGCGCAGCAGGCAGCTGCGTCCAGGCAGATTCATGTTCTGTAAAACCATCTCGATGCTGCGATAGATGACCCAGCGATACATGGAAGCCATGTTGGATGGCTCTTCCATAGCTGTCATATGCTTTCTGGCCGTTATGGGTTGCGGCTTCATGTAGACTCTGGTGATCTCATCTGCATTGGTGGGCAGAAAGTATTCCGTCTTTAGCACATAGCCCGAAGTGACCGACTCAAAATGCAATTCTTCCACTGGTATGCCGATGCCGCCAATGAACTGGACACGCGTCGGGGAGGTAGCTGGAAATATCAGCGATCTGCTGAAGCGTTTCAGGTGATCAACTTGATAGCTACTCAAGCTGCTGGCCAGTGTGAAGGCTGTCAAATAATAGCAAACGAAAATTGCTCTCAACATGACAGCAGAGCCTCTATACGGTCGAAGATCTTATGCAGAACTGAGCTTGCCGAAGAACTCATGAATTCTCACACATTGCAGTCACTTTCTTTGTTTACACTGTGGAGTGAGGAAGAGGTACTTAAATCAGTTCAATTAGCAACCACTTGACAGTTTGTGACTCGGTCAACCAGTTAAATCGTTGATCTACTTAAAACCCATTTCTGGCTCACAATAATGTGACAAAGGGTTTCATAAATGGGGTTTTGTAAGAGAATTAACATTGCATGTGCTAAACGTTCTGTATAGGAAAGAAATGGTAAACATAATTTTTGAAGTGTGTCTTTGTTTACCAAACTGAAAGTAGAATATTTATTGTGTACTTGACCATGATACGGCTGGAGCTAATGATAGGAAGCAGACTTTAGGTATGATTAAATAGGTTTGCGAACGAAAAATAGTTCATTTATTTTTTAGTTATTTTATTTAGATACTGAATCAATTTTATATTCGTTTATTTCATTGCCTTTCTGCCAAAATTAGTTCAGCTATTCAGTTCACTTAACTTTAATATCTAATACGACTTGTAATTGATTAATCTATATAAATATTACATAAAATATTTTTAGCTTTTAAGCTTGCAGCAAACAAAATCTTTTTATATGCGCACATTTTCAAGACTGACTGTCTCAAGAAGTTCGGCTTGAGTCAGCTTCTTTGTGCTGCTCTATATTTTCAGGTGTTTTCGCTTGATTGGCGCAGATTTGCAGCTTCATGTGCTTAGCTGTTGCCAACTGTAAATAGGTCTGGCGACCCGTATTACAGCTAACAGTAACTCGACCCACACAATTACGCCTGGCTCCAGTCCCAGCCCCTGAATCTGCTCTCAATGGTTAAATAAAGCGTACAAATGCATGAACCAAAGGATCTCGCAATGTATACATCTTGGAAATTGTATAAAATGTGTGTGAGCATTGGCATTAAAACACTAAGCGCCAAGCTCAGCGTGTGGGATGACTATACCGTCAGGATTTAAGCGCTCTGATTCTACTCCTTTTTTGTTTATTTTTTTTTATTTTTTTGAGGATTGCAAAGGAGTGCAGAGAAGTGCGGAAGTTATGCCGACAACGACTTGAGTAAGTTAAGTGAATTGCTGTTGCATCAAGAAGTGCAAAGGAAATGCGCCACAAGGCAGGCATGGAACTAAGAATGGGGCAGAGATTAAAGAGCAGCATGGAATGGAAAGCGGCATACAAGAAAACGCTCAGTTCTAGGACGGCAAAAGGACGACGCATAAAAATAGATGACGTTTAAGTGAGCGACGGTAAATGCATTTCTGCACAGCCAGCTTAGGACAGGACACGGAATATGTATGTCTATAGTACTATCTGCAACAACAGCAAATAAAGGCGGCTATTTATTAAATAAACGAAACAGAAGCTGAAATGCTGCACGGTCTTCATGAATCATCTTTAAGATGTACACAAATATACTCAAGTGAGCACACATAAAGAGAGTTTTATATGAAAACATTTAAAGGCTTATCCTTTAAATAAATATTTGTGTTAAGTTTTCTATAGGGTTAGGCTGGTTCGTTCAGGAATATAAACATTTAATTTTTCTTCATTTTATTTTTATCAAGAAGGAATAAACAAGTTAAAAGAAAAAGGTGAGCAGCTTACCTGATGTGCTATTTTAAGAAGCTTACTATAGAATCAAAGCTTGCTGCTGTCTGGTCAGTCATGTAAAGCCAAAACTCGTTGTGAATTATAGCGGTTTTAGCGAGAAAAGCAGACAAAGGTTATGTGCTATGAAATGCATGAACAATAGTTTCTGTTAATTAATATCCAAAATGATATCCTACATCAAATATTAGGATCAATGTCCCTTTGGCTGGCCCCATTTATTTAAATATTGGTTATTGCCAAATTGTGATCATCTAATTATGATTACATTTTATTTATTTGTATGTACTTAACAGTAATCAGTATTTGCCCTTATCAGATACATAAACCCAGCGCCAAACTGATTGCCAAATGAAAATTCGCAAATTTGTAATTCGGCAAACCAAAATTGGAGACCAACTTTGGCAAAAGCCGAGCAACAATATTGGACAAGGCGAAAGTTTTGCCGCAACACTTTGAACTTGGCTTGCAAGTGGCAAGTGGCATGCGGCATGCGGCAAGTGGAACATTTTATGTGGCTCTTTAGACTCCGCAAAGTTCATGCAGCGCGCAACTTGCCGCCGGGCCAAAGTTTGCACAGTGGGTTCAGCTCGGCATATGCAAATTGCGATTTGAATGGCATCCAAATGTCCAAAGGCAGCGAGACCTATCAAAATAGCTCAAGACTCTGAAAGTTGACAAAATCAATTAAACTGCAAATGGGCAATTGCCGCAAAGTAATTGATGAGCCATTGACAGTTGTTGCAACAACAGCTTTAAAACTACATGCAACTTGGGGCAAGTCTAACACTAGTTGGGTGTGCCCAACTTGAAGACGCCCTGCACACAGCACTGAAATCTGGGGTTGTTTTCGATATTTATCGATTGCGGGCGAATGAGCAACCAACACATTTAAATTTGAAGCTGATCTGTGTGCGCCTAAGAAGTGGGATTAAATATGAAGCTTAAGGTTGAATGGGTGTGCCCAACGAGAAGACGCCCTGTGTGTAGCACCGAGATGCTGAATCGACTAAATATGAGGTTGTTATCGGTTTTTATCTGATCTGATTAGAAGAGATATCTGATATAAAGGTTAAGGTTTTATAGTTTCTGTGGTCATACATAGTACGAGCGAACGGAATGATATATGATATACTTAATACAATAAATGCAGGCTACATACACTCGAACAAAACCAGAACACCTTCCTTTCAGCCCTATGCCTACAGGGTATAATGATGAAAACGTTTAAGAAACTGCAACACTCAAGCAGTTAAGGTTTAGTATGTGAGTGTGCAATGGTGTCGTTGTGTGTGTGCGGTGGGTGTGTGAGTGTGTGCCTAGCCACATCTTGACCTCATAGTTGCCTTTAGAATTGCCACTTGCCGGCACATGTGAAGCATAAATCCTTTTGCAACGTCTGGCAAATAAATGTATCTTCTGCACATTTAGTTGGAGTGGAAGATGTTGATTACGGGAAGAGGAGATGCTCGGGGCTAGTTGCAATCCTACGAAATGTAATGAGTTAAATTATTATGCAAACGAAGTCTCAGTGAATGTGCATACACATAAGCAAAACACTTGGAAATGTGTGCCGGGGACAAGCAGCAAAGGCATCTTATGCAGAAGGCGATGATGATTCAGATGATTAAGATGATGATAATGTTGCTGTTGATGATGTTGATGAAGCAGCAGCTGTTGCACTTAGGGCAAGTGTCTTTTAAAGCACTTGCAATGCCGACAACGAGCACCTTCTAACATTTCCTCACTCAACCCTGCCTCAGACCCTGTCTGCCACCAACTGCCTACCTCTTCCAAGCAACCCCAAACAATGCCTTGCCCGCATATTATTCATGGCATTCTGCATCATATAATTGGGTTGCTTCACATTTCAAAGCACACGAAAAGTTGAATGATATCAATTGATGTTTGATGGCGTCGGTACAGTGGGCAGGTGGGCAGCTGTTCAACTGATGGGCATTGATAAAAAGCCAATTTGAGAAGAAATATACAATGTGAAATTTCTATTGACAAAATGTTGTCAAGCATTAACAAACACTGTCGTCGGTCCATTAAAATGAGAACTTATACATTGATGAGAGGAAATTGAATCCATTGTGATGTATAATTGGCGATTGAAAATTGATAAAGATGAACAAAACATCTTATATCTTAAGAGTTCGTTTAATTATGGAAATAGTTTTTGACAGATTGTCTTTAAGGCAGTTATGCAGAAATTTTGTCTGATCGAGTTTATACATGTAAATATGAAAAATTGCAGTTGATTTGATATTGATATTAATCAAGCAAAAAGTAGAAAAGTTTGTGTGCAAAGGTATGATAGACAGCATTCCGTGGCTAGCTACAGGGTATAATATACTGCACTTAGCAGGGTATTAACATAGGAATTTGATGCCTCGTTGATCTGCAGACTTAATGGACTCGCAGCTGGCAAGAACTGACTAGATTAAGTCCGGTATTAGCACCAGCTCCTTGACCTCAAGAGCTTGAAGCTGTGGCAAACGCATTTGAGAACTCATTAATTATGTAGTCGATTGTTAAGCATTCAAGTGGCTAAGCCTGATAAATGCAACACTTTAATCAACCAAAAGAATACTCAGCCGACTTATGCGCTGTGTGTCTATTTAAATACATAATATATCAAATATAAAAGCAATTAAGCCGGGGACACACTCAAGCAAAAATGCACTGCAATATTTAAGAATTTATGGAATATAATTCCTGTTGTTATCATATTCAAGTTTTTCTTAAACTAAGTAATTCAAAAATGAAAATCACTTGAATAACTATTTAAATAATTTCAAAGAGAGTAAAACAAACTCAATAGCAATATAATTACGCAATTATGCTCTTCATTTGGGAATTTGAAAACTATAAGAATTATTTCAAATAAAACAAAATTCTTCTATGCTTTAATATATACGTATTTAGCCCATATTGATGCTCATATCTTTAAACGTGAACTCCAATATGTGTGTATGTGCTTGTGTGTGTGTGTGTGTGTGTGTTGTGCAGGATAATAATTTTCTGGGATCTGCTGGCTGCCCTGCCTGTGGCAAATAGTACTCGTATCCTTGAGCATTTAAGCGCCGTTCATTTATCACACATTTCTCATTTGCCTTTCTCTCTCTCTCTCCCTCTCTCATTTTGTCTCTCTCCCGCACCCAAGTCGAGCCAAAATTAATATGCGAAAATAAATTATCAAGCCAAATGAGCAGCGTGTTTTCGCCAACAAGGTTTTGCGCCAAAAATAGGTTGGTGGATTCTGGATGCCCAGGGCGGGCTGGGAAGATGCCTGCAAAAAGGCATTCCATTTGCACGCATGTTTGACCACATGGAATGCGTTTGGAGGCCTTTTCAGCTTCATCAGCCACAGCATTAAACATCATTTGTTATGCGATTTTACGGAGAGCAACGTCAGCAACTGACTGGCCAATAGGCCGGATGCGGCTAGTATGAGGACGAGTGGGGCAGAAGAAGGTAACAGGTCAGGCGGCAGTAGTCAAAGCTGTAAATGGCCAACAAATAATGTACACCCAGTCATACAAAGCTCACTAAAAAACAGAAAATCCAAATCTTCATGGAGCATAGAGACTTTTAATTACTCTTTCTTTTAATAATTACGCACCTTATATTCAAGGAAGTATACTTATCCTTTACTCTTAAATTATTACGATTTAAGAATTTGTTTTCCTCAGAGTGGCAAGCAATATACTTTAACAATTTTATTTTAATGTTTTAATTAAATGTATAATCAA